CACACACACACACACATATATATATATATATATATACATATATATATATCTATATCCAATTAATGCACAAATTCACATACCAACATGTATCAAATTATCATGCTATCACGTAATCATTTAATCAAATAATCACATATTTATTACCTTAGGTAATAACCAAGATCCGGTTATCACAAATGTCCCCTCATTTCATCATTGAGCCAGATCCAAATCAAGTAAGAAAACATAATCAAAAAACAAAAAGAAAAAGAAAAATAAATTTAAGAAGACAATGAAACCACCCCTAACTTAACGAAGTTCATGTGTTGATTTAGTGTGTTTTTTTGGTGTTTTATTGGAAGACATGTGTTGATTTAGTGTGTGGATCTATTCTAGTGTGTAGGTGTGGTATTTTCTGGTGTGGTGGTCGAAGAAGGGGTTCTAATGAAAGAAGATGACCAAATCATAGTAAGGGGTGGTCAGAGATGGGGATACAGATGGTGCTTTATGTACTTGTACAAAATGCATCTATAGTTGTACAAATAAGAATGTATATTAAAGGAATGAGCAACATGACTAAGTTAACCCTGACTTAACAAAGTCTTTTAATGAAAATTAGGACAAAAAACTCAATTCATAACGAAACTGAAACCATATGGACCCTAGTCATAGATTTTAGGGTTGAGGGACCTTCTCCGTAGCCAACATGAAACCATAAGGACTAAAATTGTAATTTTCTCAATAATTTATTGATATATAGAGTAAATTTTCATCTCTATCGTAAGTTGTTTATAATGACTTTCATTCTTGGTTTTTAAAACTTTACTTTTTAGTCACTATGGTTGGTTGTTTATAATGAATTTCGTTCTCTGTATTTAAAAATTGTCTTTTTAGCCACTTTGGTATCATTTTTTTTCGTGAACGCCACCACCTCTAGTCGCCTTCAGTCGATCTCCACTGTCGTCCGTTGCTAACACTATTTTCTTTATTGTTGCCACAGTTGCATCATCTCCAGGTTTTCGTCGATTTCTACATAAATAAGGTTGAAGAGAATGAGCCATTTGTCTTAGAACTTTATACAAACTCTTCCAATGATCATTGTAGACCTTGAGCCCCACCAAATACTGTTTTATGAATCTATAATACGAAGTTATCATCAACTCTTTGTATTACAAGAGTTACATAACGACTTCATTTTGTCACCATGTTCTTCCTTTGGTAGGTTGGTCATATGACTAAAGCAAGAGTTGAGGCGTCAAAAATGAGATGAGTATTTGCAGATGCCAACGGATGTTCCTAATCAAGATGACAAACGTGTTCCCAATCGATATGGGACGAGCATAGGCTTATTTACATTTTGTTTTTGGTTTTGGTTGTCGATGTTCAACCCTTCCACTCTTCTTTCCGGCGTTGTTGCTTATGGCAGATTTTGTAGGGATAGTGGTACGGTAATTGAGAAGAAACCAAACCAATTACTTGGTGATAATGTAGGCATCAAAACCCCAAGTTCGTATAAATTTCAGGGGTTTTCTCTAGATGTTCTTCAACTGTTCTTTAAGAAATCCAAATACCATAATACTGGGTTGAATGTTTTTAATTTCTTGGATTGAATGGTCTTTAACTTTTGTCTTGAATGTTTGTGGTTTGTTCTTAAATCTTGCTCATAACCTCAAGATTGAAGTAAAAAATTTACTCCTCTCATGTTCCATTTAAGAACAACCCCAACCCACTGTATTCAGTAGCTCAAGAAAGGTTCTCGAAGAAGATGAAAAGGGTCATATAAACGATTTGAAATATTTTGTCAGAGAAGAGGGCACGATCAGGGGAGGGTGTTTAATCTTTTAATAAGACACGTTGAATGATATTATTGGATGAGTTTTTTTTCTTTTAATTGAAAAATCAAATAATAAGGTAAAAATACAAGGATATCCTTGATTTAACTGATTTTTTATCATAGTTGGTGCAGACGAAAAGCGAAATAAAATGGAAACAATAGTAACAAAAAAGCAATTTTTAAAGACTAGGGACGAAAGTAGTTATATGCAACAAACCATGAGGACTAAAATTGTAGTTTACTCAAATATATATAAGTAAATTATACTTTTGGTCCCTGTGGTTGCCAACTACTAACAACTCTCGTCCCTAAACTTCATTTAATACACTAATAGCTATTGTGGTTGCCACTCTATTTCGCCTTTAGTCCCTTTGACTAAAACCGTTAAAAATGACATTAACTGATGGACATTTTGATCTTTTTAGTCCTTTTTTTTGTCAATTTTATATTTTACGTCATCAAAAGAACTTGCATTTTATAACTCCTTTTGTCTTTTATCATTAATGAACCACCACCTGCGCCCCTTCTCTCTTTCCCCTTCCCTTCTCTTTATCATCCCTAATAAACACAATAGGGGCTCCATTATCACATTCCTCGTTCCACTCATCTCAAACTCAAAGAGCCCCATGAGACCATGGCCCCTTGCTAGCGAAACCTATGGCTAAGAAACCATAACAAAATGGTTCGCCATCATAATGTGAGGCTACCGTTGATAACGACTGCAATGGAATCCACACTTAGTGTTAACCCCAACTTGTATCCAATCTTTCCATCTCTATCTCTCGACGTGACTGTAGTCCCATCCTATCTGACGACCCATTCCCCTTCAACGGTCTTCTTGGAAAACCTAACAAACCAATCTAAATCCTAAACAAACAAAAAGCCGTCAAAGGAACAAAAGAAACCTATGATAAAACAAACCTAAATACTAAAAAATAACCCATCAAAAAGTTGCCGATTGGGGGCTGCTTCAATCTTGTACAACCTTGTATTGTCCATCAATTCATCATAAGGTTGTACCTTCGACTTTGTGTGATGTATCATGTGTACGAAACCTGCATCAACAATAATTGTAAATTCTCAAGATGAAATTCCTGCATTCACTCTTATTCTTGTCAACCCAAACCTAAACCTAAACTAATACATCTGGTTACATGTCTTAATTTAGAAATACAAACTACAACAATAGAATACAAACGAAGTAATAAACGAATGCTTAAAATTAGATAGATCTTCAATAACATGAAGAATGTAGAGAGATGCAACAGAAAAATATATAGAATAATCTATGAATCAGTATTGAAGATAAGCAAACCACAGTCTATGAGTTTCAGTATTGACCACCAAACTTTAATTCATTAAACTTTTTCCATGATATAAAATTACTTATAGCAGATTTAGTCCATCAAGAAAAATAACTTAGAGAAAGGCAACAAAGTAGAAAGCGAAGCTGGAGCCTTAGCTGCCTTGTCAAAGGAAACTGAATGAGCTGTTTGAAATTCCTTTCACTCTCCCTCTCCCTCTCGCGCTTACTCATTAGGGCGAGCGGCTTTGCACCTACGGAAAAGCTAACGAGAACAAGATGAAAAAGAATTTATAAAACTATAACAAAATAAAAAATGTTTGGTTTTGATAGTAAAGTAGACAAACGAAAGATCGTGTGAGAATAAGAGTTAAGGTGATAAACATAAGAAAGGATTTGGACCCTTGATCACCTTTATTTCCAAACTCACCTATGAATCTCGTTTGATACGGGTTTGATCCGGTGTATCTTATCCTAATATACATCCAACGGTGGAGATCATTTCTTACACTTCTCACCTTCACTATCAAGCGAACCCATCCTAAATTCTATTTGAGTTTGTATGGGTTTTAAGAAGAAAAAGGTACAATAACATAATACTCATAGTTAAGGGCTTGAAATGGAAACCATTAGTTTTTGCTGATTGGGGAAACAAAGATCTCGTATGTGTATGTGTTTCATTTCGCCAAACCTCCGTCCATTTACACACACACACACACACTCTCTCTCTCACAGAGTCTGTGGAGTAAATATATGAGTTACTCTTCTTCGTGGTAGCGACTTGGGGGATCTGCTGCACACAGTTCTCCAAAGAGCATTGGAGCAATCGATCTTCAAAGGTCCTAACTGTTTTCTACTTTTCTTTTATTTCGCATATGTAGATCACCAGATTTGTTTCAACAGATTCAGCTTTTACATTACCGTTTAGCAGAATGCCTATTTGTTTACTTCAATGTACTGATTTTAAACCTGATTTTATCTGTTTATACTTCGCTTTTGCAATCTCAAAGTATCTGGACTCGGATTTAGTTTTTTATTGCCTGGTAACCGCAGGGATGGAGACTATTTTCTTTATAAAATCGTATTTATGTGTCTACTAGTGCGGATTCTACTCCCATTCAGTGGTAAAATTGGTACCGGATGTAATCTGTGGAACTATTGCCATGAAATGGAAGTGCGAATTAGAATTCTGCCTTAAGTTGTAGTAGATCTAAGTACGACTGTAATGCTTGAAACCGAAAGAGGAGGAAAAACTGCATAAGAACTTCAGTTCACTGTAATTCTATCACATTTCAAATTTGTTCACGGAATGCTTTAAGCGGCTCAGCATGTTTAAGGTGGGATTATTTTTAGTTTAAACAATGTCCTGTTGAATGGGACCTTATCTCACATTGATCAGCAACAAGTGAAGGCATAAAGAAATATGGATTTTTCATCAATGTTCATTGTTATGATATTCTACATTCAAATAAGCATTGGTCTACAAAATTGAAGGTGGAAAAGATGGTCGAGTTTGATCACAGTCAAATATGAAGTTTTGCTGAACTCACACACACCAAGACTGTAGCTAAACTAAAAATAGGTGAAAGAAATGAAAGTGAAAAAGATCAAAGCAAGGCATTAAACACATTACAATTTTATGGGTAGTCAAAATAAACATTTATTTACAATGCAAAGTTTCTGAACCTTTGGATCACTTCCACGATGAAATCTTAATTTGACAAAAGAGATCTGGTGGGCAATTTGCTACCACAAATTAACATTCGTTGCATACTCTTATTCAAATATCAAAATGGTAAAATTTGTACCTCTTTTGTAGACCATACTAATACCAAATTGAGATGCATGGAAGAAACTGTCTGAGATGAGTTGAAATTCACCCTTGAAGATTGGTATCTACACAACATGGAAAATAATCACCATAATAAAGACAGTGATATATGTAATAGCATATGATGGTACTAACACCCTAGCAGACTGAAAAGTGAAAAGTCAGTTGGCAGTACTCGTTAATCAATATTATTCCGAGGGCCAGCTGCAACATCTATCTATCAATTCTCTACAGCGAGGTGCATATAATCATACTCTTCTTACCTTTCTTGGTTGACTTCAGTTATGGCCTTCCCTACATAAAGCATTGAAGTCCATCTTGAAGTACTTGTCTAAGATGTCAGTGCTTTATCCATCTTAAGAAAAAAAATTCACCTGTGCTTACTTTTACTATCTTGGCAATGCATACACTTCAAATGTATCACTTCTAGGCATCCAATGTTTACCATTTTAGCTACACCACTGATATTTAAGTGCATAAGGTTCTGAGATTCTTTTAGCTGGTCTGCTTAATTTCATTATTTGTTATACGATTACAAAGTAATGTTTGTGAAGTGGAATCTAGCTTTACAAGGCTTGTTTACATCTTCTTTAAATTGAAGGGTTTTCAGCTGTGTCATTTGCAGGAGGCTATCATTTGTAGCTTGACAAAGATGAAGTTCTCTCCTCTCTTGTAATAAGTGGATTAGCTTTCTGGTCGGAAAATCCAAATATTGATCATCTGGTTTGGGGAGAGAATCTCATTGTATAATTGAGATCTGGGAACTGATAACAAACTTGTGAATTAAGCTGCCAGAGAAATGATTAACAAGTCACTTTTCTTGACTTACCTGTACCTATTAATCTACATCTTGCTGTCATCTGGAGTTATTCTGTACAACAAGGTAACTACTTTTCACCTTCAGTCTCAACATTTATGCTACTGTTTACTTATGATTCTTTATGATGGGCCATCGGATGTGTGTGCTCTTTTCATGTAGATGTTCTTCTAAAAGTTGGTGCAGAGGTTTCAATAATGCAAATGGAAAATTCTACATGTTCTGTAATATGGAAATTGAAATGCCAAGGCATCTCTGTAAATCAGCAATATCTCTTGATCACATGTGTCCTGCTGCACTTAAGATCAGTTAAACAAATGTTTTCTTCTGTTAGACATAGATATCTTTCTCTAAAGATATTTTATGGGTATTTGTGATGCTGAGCTGTGAACTCCTTAAGAAGTTAGGACTATCAGCATTATGTTTGCTCATGGATTGATGGGTATCACTTGTGATGCTAGACAAGAATGACTATGGATTATGAAAACCGAGTTTAGTAAATCCAACAGCTGTGCTTGCTTTCTGTTTTCTGGTTTGCTGGCAACAAGCAACCTTGGGTTCATCAAAGCCTGATTTGGCTACGTGGTTCTACGACTGTCCTTGAGCTTGACCCCCTTCATCACCTGTATATATTCCATAAGCACATCATATTTTGTTTCTTCATATAATTGTTCCCTAAGTTTTTAGATCTTTAGTATTTCTGAACAGTGTGCGGCCGTCAGTATGTGCTTATGGTTTGGTGGTTCTACTAATTCATATCTTATGACTAATCAATGCATGCATTTGTATTTCATTGTACTTCTCCGAATAAATTCCATCTTACCTACTATCATTTTATTTACTTGCAGTGGGTTCTCTCTCCGAAGTACTTCAATTTTCCCTTTCCTATCACACTTACTATGATACACATGGGCTTTTCTGGAGCTGTATCATTCCTTCTTGTTCGTGTTTTCAAGGTATTGTTCTTTTCGAGTATTTTCAATAATCTCTATTCTTTATATATTATCATCCCATCAGCTGAAATTACTTATTGATATGCCATCTTAATCGTAGACATAAATCCATTTTTCAAGTAATACCAATCACTAAGTGATTTCAAATGTGTAAGATCTACGTATATTAATGTTTTAGAAGTCTTTGTTCTGCCATGCTATGTAGACAATGATACTTATATTCATCTTACTTATATGATCCAACGATGATATAGCATATTGATCACACTCCTATAATTTAATTGTGCTTCTCAAGTAAGTTACCTACATTTTTTATATAGAAACATGTTTCACTTGTCATATATCTCATTTGAAGTTATTGAAAGTATAAGTCTAGCAGAATGTATCCCAGGTACAGGGATCCGTAACTCAAGATTTTATCACTGTTCCTGAACTGAACTTTCAACTCTTACATGTCCCTGAAATCATCTTATTAGATACCCATTGCTTGGTTTACATATAATTATGAAACAGAAAAGCCGAGTACTATGCTGCTATGCTGCTTTTGGCAATCCCAAGAAAACAATATAAGCCCTCACGTTGTACGCCTTGGGATAATGGAGTAATTTCATGATTTCCATCTCAAGTTTTAGAAATTTTAATATGAACTGAAGAGTTTATCTGGTTCTGGTTAGTTCAAACTGTTGAAAGCTATTACATGAACCAAGTTCATACTAATTTGCCACTTCTCTTCTTTCTCCATCATACTGCAGGTTGTTGCCCCTGTTAAAATGACCTTTGAAATGTAAGATATATATATATATATATATATATATATAAAAGATTAAATCAATTTATTTGTATTTTTCTTCAGTTTTTAACCTTCCACTAAATTTCTCTTTTCGTGGGCATGGTAGATATGCGACATGTGTAGTTCCCATCAGCGCTTTCTTTGCATCAAGTCTCTGGTATGAACCATTTGCATTACATTGATCAATTTAAAGACATCTCTTTTGAATATGGAAGTGGTTGTTGGATGTTTTTACTTTTTATATTTTACACTGTGTTTTGTCAACTTAGTCATTAGGCTATACTTATTTGTGATAAAAGAAATCGGGATTTACGTTTATTGCCAAAAAAGATCCCTCAAAGTTTAACATACAATAATGCTGCTGCCACATACTGCCAATTGGCTTTTGTGATGGATGCATTCGCTTGCTATATTTGTTGTAGGTGTTAAATTGTATAGACATCTTTAGATAAGTAACTTGACATGGCTATACTGTCCTGCAGGTTTGGCAACACTGCTTACTTGCATATATCAGTGGCCTTCATTCAGATGCTGAAAGCCCTAAGTAAGTCAAAGTGATTTCCATATCTCTTGTTCCAATTACTGCATCTATCTGATTATAGCTGACGACTGAAAATGGATACAGTGCCGGTGGCAACACTTATCATGGCTGTTTTATGTGGCACGGACAAGCTTAGGTGGGATGTGTTCTTGAACATGTTGCTGGTCAGCGTTGGAGTTGTGATCTCCTCGTATGGGGAAATCCATTTTAATATAGTTGGTACGCTTTACCAGGTCACGGGTATTTTTGCAGAAGCTTTGAGGCTAGTGTTAACTCAAGTCCTCCTGCAAAAGAAGGGTTTAAATCTAAACCCGATTACAAGCTTATATTACATAGCTCCTTGCAGGTACTGGATTGCAGTTCTTTCTTCTTATAAACAGTTAATCTCCATGAGGAAAAGTTTTGTGTACTTTTTGATGTTCTATTTGTTTTTTTGGGTTATTCCCTGACCTCTTCCCAGTTTCTTGAGGACATTTATGTAAACAAAATTAGTTGGGACATGGGGTAGGGTTATAAAGTCGATGTCAACAAATATTTACTTATGCACTAGGATTATTGCTTCTAAAAAGTCTTGGCTGTCAACATCGCTCCATGCCCACTGTTTGCTTGTTTTAGTTGGAGCTCCAAGAAAAAAATAATAATATTTGGTGTTTGTCATTTAATACTAGTAGAGCTGTAGTATGTTCTTTTGACCTGATCTGAAGATCTTGGGCCATTCGTTGTGCTATCCATTTGTCAAATGATATACAATAATAAAGAGGTTTTGATATTTAATCGTCAATAACAACATGCACGCACACTCTTTACTTTTCCTGTTTTTGAAGGGCTGGTACCGCTTGCTAATGTGGCAAGACTGAGTCTTTGTTTTTTGGTTTTCCAGTTTTGCGTTCCTGTTTGTGCCTTGGTATTTCTTGGAGAAGACTGGCATGGAAGTTTCACAGATTCAGTTCAATTTCTGGATTTTCTTCTCCAATGCCGTATGTGCTTTAGCATTGAACTTCTCAATTTTCCTAGTGATTGGTAGAACTGGAGCAGTTACCATTCGAGTTGCTGGGGTCCTGAAAGATTGGATACTTATAGCTCTTTCAACCGTAATATTTCCAGAGTCTGCCATTACTGGGCTGAATATTATTGGATATGCCATCGGTATGGAGTGTGTTGGACTGAAACGTATTTTAATCTATGGCTTGTGACTTTGATTAGTGATGGATGGTTATTATTGTGTGCAGCACTTTGTGGCGTAGTCATGTACAACTACATAAAGGTGAAGGATGTTAAAGCATCTCAAACTCCTGCAGATAGCATCCCAGAACGAATGACAAAGGTCGGTTTTCATCCTGATTTCATTTAGAAATGAAAATGTAGAATGAATTTGAACAACCGAGTTACTAATTTACAGGATTGGAGGCTCGAGAAGAAGTCATCAAATAATATATATGCAGCAGCAGGAGGTGATAACAACAATGATGATTTCGATACAAGTAGTGGTGGGAAGGTTAGTGATATGAATGTAGATGAAGAGGTGCCTCTTATGGCTTCTTCGAGGCTTTCGCATATTGGGCGATCACAGCTTAGCAGCCGAGATGCATGATCTCATATACATAAATAGTATCCATACGTTTACCTTTTTACCTTTAGGGATGTTGATGTTCATGTATGTGGCTTAACCACCCAAAATTGCTTCTTTTTTTCTTCTTTGTTATGGAAAAGTAAAAGGGTAGAACCAAATGAAGCAGTGTATTGTAGCATGTGAGGTTAATTTTTGTTGAACCAAAATAGAGCTGAATGAGGTTAAAATTGATATTACTCTGTGTGTTTTCTGTTCCATATGATATTATGGTGATTGGAAAGTGGTTTTCTGTAATAAAACAAGATTGGACTGTATGAATTGTGATTAAACTATAATTTATTATTATTAAAATGATAAATATAGAGCACCCTCTTTCCATTCTATTCCCATGTTCAAAAGATTTATGTTGCAAAACCAGAAAGGTGGTGCCGGATTGGTTTGAGCTTGGCTTCAAAGGTCGAAAGAACCAGGAGGTCCTAGGTTCAAATCCAAGGAGAATAAAAATCCCCTTGTGGCCATGGAGGTTCAAATGCGGTGACTCCGGGCTATCTGCAAAGCAGGTGGTCGTTCTGGGATTAGTCGGTTCGCATAGTGGGTTGAATATCCAGGTTAATAAAAAAAAAAAGATTTATGGTGCAAGTTATGTTACGACTTAAGTGAGAAATCTCATGTTTTTTCAACAAGCACCTTGTAAAGTAGAGATGCACAAATCGAACGGTTATGTATCTCCATTTTTAGTATCGTCTTGGTTGATGTAAATCATCGTTTGTTGGCGGCATTGTTGTATAATGGATTCTGTATGTCGTGTCCGAAAGTATCATGCCACTAAAGATGGATTTCAAAGATTAACTACGCTAGGTTGCTTTGTTAGACGTTAGTAAATCTTTGGCAACGACGTTGAAAATCAAAAGTTGTGGTTTCTTTTATTTTAATCATGATAATAGCCGTTTGCTAACTTGGTTAATTATATTATTATCTAGTGTCGAAAATATGGAGTATTACGACTTACACTTGGTTGACGTTATGTTTGAATCCACCTTGTACTTGTTGGGTTATTGTAGAAACCAATCCACTTGGTATAACCTATATGTAACTATAACGTGGGTCAAATTCAGGCGAAAACCGAAAAAAAATGAACTTTTTTAACACCCTAATAACCACTAATCAAGAGGGTATGCACATGTACACACAAGTACTTTGTAAGCAATTTGCACATGTGCATAAAAACCAATAAACTCCAATTACTTGTATGCATATGTTACGGTGCTATGCTAAATGGTAACGAGATTGTTCCTCAATTGGGTATTTGATAAAGAAGCAAATGAATGAATGTGGTTAAAGTGAAACTCATGGGCTCAACACCATAAAATAATAGTAATATGTTGTTCCAATTCAACCACAACAGTAATGAAGCCATTTACAACCATTTACATTCATCTCTATTTCTCCCTTTCACATAAAATAAAATAGAATAAAAACATTACCACACAATCCAACAACAATCAATCAAGCAATCATCTTTTCTTCTCTCAAAAAGTCAAAAATGCCCTTGTGCCACTGCTAATAGTCTCCTTGCAGCAGCTGGAGCTGGAGGAGCTAACCCTGGTATGTCTCTGATGTCTTTGTTATGTGGGTTCACAATCTATCAACACCACACACAAATCATTACAAACTTAACACATTCATCACAACAAAAACACATAATTAGTTCATCATTGATTGGTTTACCTTGACAATAATAATGGCAATCACACCACACACGATAAGGAATAGAAATAGCATGATGCATTTATCCGTAGCCACCTGCATATGTATAATATATACATATGTACATACATATATGTATATAAGTAGTCAATATCTATGTCTTCAATTTACTACGCAATAAAAAACACCAATGTACCTGCCGTCCTATCTCCTTCACAAGCTGAGATGCCTTTTTAATAGAGAACTGAATCGTGTCCAGTTCATTCACAATACGTCCCATTTGATCCGTCTGAACAAATAAACAAACAAGCAAACATTCTTCAACTTACTATACAACTAACTTACTTACTCAACCAACAACAAATCAATCCAACTAACTTACTTGGCCTTTCAAATTGGCAGCAGTTTGGGTTCCCACTTCAACCGTTTGTTGAACTACCTGTGTACATACACATACATTATACAAGTCACCAACTACTAAAATTTATTAATCAAGTTAAGTGAGATCACCTGTTGGGAGCGTGCAATGGCCTGATCAGTCTCATCCATTGTCTTCATGCCAGCTTGAACAAGCTCCTGATTCGACATTTCTACACAAACAACCACTCATCACTTGTTATTATCCAATGAACCATCATATCATTTCTTTTCTTTTAAAGCAGTCCATCTCACCTGATGCCACCTGAGTATTGTCATCAGCCATAGGTTCACTACCGCCTGCTCCCATGTCAAAAAGTTCAACCCTCTTGTTTCCAAGAGTGCTTTGATATCTGGATTCCATAATAATATCAATATCAACATGTTTTCACTATACTAAACCATCAATATGAATCCTAGCTCTTATCTTTCATATTTATTCACTTTCCAAACCATAGACTGCATGAAATCAGGTTTTTTTCTAGAGGTGTTAATACCAGGCTTCAAACCTTAATCAATTAGATTGACTAGAATATAACAAGTAATAGAATAAAAAATATCTTGGGTAAAGAAATTTTTCATTGTTTTTCCAACTAACAAAAATATACTTTATGCAAGCTGTATGTTTTTATGTCAAACTTTTTGGATGCATGCTTGGTAGATGAACTAAAACAGCATAAGACGATACCATTCAAGATGGAATACCTAGCCATAGCATGTGAACAGAATATTTTTGGGTGATAAATTGCAATTGAAAACCAGAATCATCAGATATCAACATGGGTGTTCAGATGTATCTCCAAAAATGGAGATCCATAATTACACAATCTAAGAAAAATAAATGCACTTACGTCTTTCTCAAGGCCACATATGAATTTAGCTCTTTGATCTGCAAACACAGAAGCATTGTGTAAAATGAGACGAGTTACAGGAACATAACCACACATAAGTAAATAAATGTGATGGACAACACGTGTGTATAATCCAGTTTCTACGCTCAAAGAGATGGCTATTAAAATGGGAAAATCTGTCAACAAAGAAAATCCAAATCACCATATCGTATGTCATTACTATCTTAAATGGATCAAAAAGCTTCAGAAATCTAACATTCTAAAAGACAAGGATAAAGAAGCACATAAACAACTGAAGATCAGGTTTATTTCTAATCTAAAAATACAGATATCCAATTAAAATTCACATTTATCGACAACCAAAAAATACACCCTCTAGGAGCTTTGATGAATCAAACATCCAATCTGATATATGTAAGGGGCCGTTTACTATAGTGGTAAGTGCTTACCGAGTACTTTTCCTTATCTGATGAACATGGCAAGGGTTAAAAATCATAACCGGTAAGAGCAATGGTAAAGATGGAGAGTCTTACTCGGTAAGTGAGGGTGACGACCCTTACCCGGGTAAGTGCTTACCGGGTAAATTGTTGCATATGCTACCATTTTAATATACTACAATCTTACCCAGTAAAATAAATTATAGTGTTGACTCCTAACAGTAAGTGCTTACCGGGTAAGCATTTAGGTAAACGGCCCCTAAGTTAGATCAAGAATTTAAGGTGCATGTTATTACAATGGAGAAGTTTGAAATTATATTGTCCTTCCAGATATAATATGCCTTCATGGCATATAATGAATTATGACATAGCTCTGTGATTTCTGATGGGTTTTATTTTACAAGTATTACCTTCAATGGTCTGTCTCAATCAGATGGGACAAAACAAAGAAAACAATCATATGTTTTTACATATTATTTCAATACAAGTACACCAGAGTGTATCAACTAGTGATCAAAAAAATAAAAATTGAAGTAAGATCTGTCCACCTCTTCTCCTGAGACTAACAAAACCTGATTAATTATATTTTAATTCATATTGTTAGCCCTGAGGAGAATGTTGCCACCTAAGACTCCAACCAGATCACACCGCAGAAAAGATCCCCTACTCAATACACCCAGTAGACAAGTAACATCCGAAAATTGATAAAAGTAACAATTCAAGGCATTATGAGAAGGATGTATACAAGTACACATTCATATAAAGGTTGATAAGGGAATACTTCACAACTAAAGAGAACAAAACAAATTACATGAATGCTCTAGATATCAATAAGCATAGTCTTACCATTGATTGCTTCTCATCATTGAGCTTCTTGCTGACCTCTGGAGGATTTTTACTTTCCTCCTCTTTGATTTCACGATCGAAGTCTTTGATCAACCTAAAGGGAAACAAATCCATCAAGTTCCGAGTGCAGGGTTCCTTTAGAGTGCCAAGATGAAACTTCAATAACAGATACCAGGTACAAAATCTCTACATATGTCAAGTACTTGTTTCCTTCACCCCCATCAAGTAATTGTATAATAAGCTTCCAGTAGGAGACAGAGAAAAATTTCCCTTGTTTAATATGTCACAAGAATAAAGTATAGATGTATCAGGAGGGATAGAGATAGAGGAGAGTTAATAACAGCTAGGAGGGAAACTTTCCCAAGCTAACATGATCTTCCTCCAATAGTTGAGAGCTTGGATAAAGACTTGCTCTTCATTGGATAGTTTAAAATGGACTTCACCAAGAATAAAGGATTCCCCCCACAGGGCCTTCCTGTATGGTAGTGAAGAAGTAAATGAGAGATTTTTGTGGGCTGTTGACAGGTAGAAAGAAATGGGATTGTGCCAACAAGCCCCCTATTCATCTCAACCAAAAGATGAATAATTCCCCTATATGCTTGACTCATGCCCCAAGAACCCCTGGCACATAAGGCATGAACTAATTTTTCACTGGAGGGAGACTGGGAGAGAAAATGGGTATGCATCTACTGGAGATTTGTTCATGGGACTTAAGGTCACCTTCTGTATTCCGTTTTATTAGGGTCACATAAAATATCTTTATCCGTTAAGCCAAGTGGAGGGCTTTTGAATTGAGAGCAACACTACCCTGATAAAAGGTTGAATTAAGTAGGACTGAAATCTGTTAAAAGAAGTCTTCACTTGTAGGACCTTCTTTGATGATTCATGTAAGCTTGGGTTTTTCATTCAGGCCCTCTTGGAACACCCTATAGGCCAATGTGTATAAGCGGGATTTCTTAACACTTCACAACCACTCAGAACAATTTATAAGCACAACATACTACACTGAGCAGATGCATGAGTCGTGACTAAAACTCAACCATCCATCCTGGTGTAAGTTTCTGACAAAACAATACTACCAGTGCGGTCATTGATGATTTATCATCTTTTTATCTGATAAGAAGATTTTTCTATCATGATATAGAAAGAAAGATTCAAATATGGATATGCACACGGAAAAGGAAGGTGGAAAATAAATCTGAAAAATGAAAACAACCATGCAGAGAAAATCATTAATGAAAAACGCAAAGGAATAGTCTATATGGAGCAACTCATTGATTGAGATGATATGTTATGGAAAAGAACCACGCCTGATGTCCTGAGTTGACAGCCTCCCTCCCCCAAAAGAACTCCTTCATATAAGGACGATACAACAATACTTTGATCACCTAGCGAACAACAAACTTAGAAAGGATAGTAATACAATGCTTTCCTTCTTTGAGTGTCTAACCTCCATCTTAAGAACAAAACTTGCTTCAATTGACAAACACAAAAATTACTTTGGCAGTTAGGAAAGAAGGTGCATTTTTATATGGAACTTATACAAGAGCTATTCAAAAGAACTAATGACAGTAAATGCATAAGTTAAAACAAGTACAATAATAATAAACACATATGGGGGAGAGAAAACAAGAAAGAAAGGCTCAATACCTTTTACATTCTCTCATCTTTCCTGTAAGATCCTCCAATTGTTTACTTTGTCTGGTAGAGTCTTTAATCTTGTCCAGCTTTTGAAAGCCATTTCTGAAAATCATCAGAATGCTTTACTTCATTCATTCTAAATAAAGAGGAATACTACACTAAGGCTCAACATAGTTTCAAGTAAAAATGATTCACACTCCACCATATAGGTGGCCTCTTTAAAAGAAGATTAAGCATATCAATTGACCACATGAAAAGATTAAGTGTGCCACTTTGTTCTTTTGGTTACTATTGATGACACTAGCATTTACTCCTATAGCTAATTTATTCTATATATATATATATATATATATATATATAGACAGCTTAACAATATGTACTTATTGAATATTAAATGAATGAGTACAAGATAACAAACCCCGGCGCAAGTTCAATATAAAAAATGACATGTGACAAGTTTAGAAACTTTTTCAAGGATGTGAATTACAAGTACTCAATATGATACTAAAAAAGTGCAGCAGCTAAAATGGAAAAAAGATCATAAATAGTACATCGTCAAAAGAGGAAGAGGACTTAATCTTAATCATATCCCAAAATTTGTAAACTTCACTATGAGACAGCAGAACTGGGTGGAGGGAGGAAAAAACTTGCATTAGAGGGCAAACTCAAGGCTACATCATGCTATAGATTAGAAAACAATTTATAAGCACAACATCACATCATGGCCAAGTGCGCATACAATGAATGATGGATTCTGAGAGCATTTAAGTGCAACATGTGTGCTCAAATATAGATTCTCAAGCATGCTACGGATATGATCAGCAAGTGTATGCATGCCTGTATCAAGCATTCAAGCCATAACCTTTCATAAGGCGCACAACTACAAGCATGAATCCTTGACTACCTAAGGTGGATAGAAAATAAAACCCATAAAAATTTAGAAAACAACTCAACCAATAAAGGATCTAGAAACATGAATGGCATCCCCATGCTCTCCAATCTTAAGTCAATTTCTAGAACATATAATGTCGCTAGATTACTTCCTCTCTTGTTAGTCTTGGCTTTCTTCTTCATTTTTTGGTGCTTTCATCTTGACGCAAGTCCCACCTTTCGATGCTGCACTCAAAGATTTACATTGGAGAGACCAACCAAACAAGCAGTGTTGCATCAGTCTCCTCCAACTTCAGTAGGACCCCCATCAACCTTCTCTCTAATATCCTCATTCTAATGTTAGCCACCTTATGCTCCGTATATACATTGAGCAACCATCAATGATTATATACTAATATACATAAAATATCCAAATCCCACCCAACTTATGCTCATCCAAAACCTCATATTCAAAGAAAATAGAATTGTACTGCAAAGAGTTTATGTATGCTGCAATCCAACTTAGGTGTAACCAAAACTTCAAGCATACATAACATAAGAGCTGAAGATATTCATTCAATAAGCTATGCAGAGTAAAACACACTACATGATGATCAACACTCAACAATTGGCAAGTGTAAAGAAATTAGTACAGTACTTGGGTTAACATCAAAATGTAGGAAATAGCCAGTAATCTTGCTAAATGCTAGAAGTAAAATCTCCAAGCATATGTTCTTCTATTATTAGATGATAGTACTCCTATCAGTTCTACTGAACACCACATACAATAATACATACAAGACATAAGGTGGATCTACATATAACTTGGTTGGAAACAAAGAAACTAACATTAACTCTCAACACTATATAGACAAAAATGCACAAATTAGTGCTATAATTCCAAGCTAGAAAGTAGACATTAATTGCTACATTCCTAACTTAAAAAAGTCAAAATGGTTTTGCTGCGCGCTTGACTTCAGGTAGAAGTGACGTCAACTTCACCTTCCATAGAGAATGGAGTTAAAAATAGCCAAGTGACATTTTTTGTTGCTCAATTGATGGTAAAAAGGACCGCCACAGATCATCTAATTTTCAAGGCAGGATTGTCTACCAGTAGCTAGCGGTGTTCCAAAAAAACCATGCTATAAATAGGCGTCAAGCATCCCCTTGCCGGTTCGATTAGTTAGGGCCATGTAATCGGCCGCCTGAGACTTTAGCATCCTCTGCCACTTTGATTAGCGACTAATCACTAAAGAGCATTTCAAAATACTAACCAAAGAATAATTGACGTTTCTAAACTTGTGTTCATCAGTTGGTTTTTCTCAACTTGAAGGGAACCTTCAAGATCCTTTGATTGGAGAAGTAACCGTACAAAAACTTATATAGTATCAAAATTTCTAATTACTCCAAAAACAATTATTTTTTATATATGAAGTCTACCAGTTATAGTTCTGCTGATTCCTCCATAAGCCATGCTTAGGTGATTAAGCACTAGACGGTTGATTGACCGCCTAGCTCTGGTTTTTAGACAGTGTAGCTGATCAATAGCAGCTACAAATGTTTATAATCATAAACTACATCTTGTAAAATTGACCATTTACACTCCATACTTCTGAATGCTGTCAGACCCTGAGAGCACCTCAAAAGAACTGGTACCTAAGGCACCTTATGCACCATGTAACTTGTAGGTTCAAAAAACCCAACTTAAAACAGAAAACTTTTTACCCATGTCATGCAGTTATACCGTTCTAGACCAAGCTTTTGGGAATATTTGATTCTAGAAATACTACTTTTAGCCAGAAACTGATATACAATATAGCAACTGCTAATATACCATCCTAGATGAAAACTCCTCTTGTTGCATAACTACTAAAGCAGGAAATCAGTAGATAGAATTAATGGCACTTATTGTAAGCAGCAAGATGATCTGTTGTCAATAAGTGAAACAATGTATCATTAATCATCCAAGATGCCAAGTATGCTGAAAAAACTTTTGTACGAATAACAATAAAGTTCTAGCCAGACTAAGTAAAGTAAGCATCCCATCAACTTCATGGCTGTACCACGTACAAGGAAAAATGGTCGATCTAAAAGGCGAAAAAACGAAAGTTGCTTACACCCTATGCTAATTTTGTGCCAGATGAAGCAGATAATTACGATTCATTTGCTGCATTACTTTAAATCGAAATTGAAGCACAATAAGTTCAAAGTTGTAACCCTCAATTCCATGTTCACAAACACTACGAAAATCACAAGAACAAAGATCGGTAGTTGGTATTAACATCTAGATGGACTATAATGAAAAATAGCAACAACACGAAATGATCTAAATGAATAATTAAATAACATACGCGAGGGCTCGAAAATTGTCACGAATTTCACCATGGATCTGCTCCATTTGAGGGTTCATTTGCAAATCCGGATTCGCCATTCTTAAACCCTGCTCTTTCTCTACCTAGGCACTTAGAACCTCCCTCAAGAAAAAGAAACAAAACACCTTCAAAACCAGAAACAAACCCTAATCTTCAATTTGAAAGAAGATCTTCAAAACGTAACATTGTATTCTACTCCACCCCACTTCAGCCTACCACCATACAACTGTGGGAACTGTCTTACAGAGAATCAGCTTAAAAAAAAACTATATTTTAGACAACAAGAATGACAGAGACTAGAGGAGAACCATGTAGGTATGTCTTCCTCCTAGGGTTTCACAAACAAATTGGTGGGGGGAAGGATGAGAGAGAGAAAGGGGTTACTAGCCTGTAATCGCTGTGTCCACCTGTAAAGTGGGTATACAATGAAATAAATGGGGTTTTGGCATATTTGGTATTTTTGATGATTTGACTTTTTTTCTCCTTACTTACATGAATGGTCCTCCCATTTTTATGTTAACATCTCGTTTTTTATCTGATAAATGCTTATCAGATAGTTTATTTTAATCGGATGAACATGTCAATGATCGAGAATCTTATCCGATTAAAACAATAATAAGGATCAAGAGTCGGACCATGTAAGTGAGGATGATGATTCTTATCTGGTTAGTGTTTATTGAGTAAATTGTCGCTTACGATACTATTTTGATGGATTATAATCTTAACGAATAAAACAAGTGAGTATTAACCATTGCTGGCAGAGACGGCCAAATGGGACCGTCGCGGCCCGGTCGGGACGGTTTGAGACCGCCGGTTATGGTTTTCATCAAAGAAAAAGGTCCGGCCCAGCTCGGGACCGGTTATAGGCCCCATTTTTTTAAAAACAATGTATTTTTTTCTGTATTTCTAACTTTTTAAGTGTATTTGATTGAAAATCAAATGAAAAATTTACAATAAAACATACTTTTTAAGTGTATTTGATTGAAAATCAATTATAAAACTATAATAAAACGTAATTTTTAAGTGTATTTGATTGAAAATCATTTATAAAACTACAATAAAATGTATTTTATAAATGCATTTGATTGACTTAATTAGATATTTTAATTGTATTTGAATAACATTAAAGTATTTTAAATTTTTTTTTAAAAATATAAAAAGAAAATGTTTTTTTAATATAGGACCGGTTTAGACTTGGCACGGGACCGGTTACAAGTACCCTTAACCGGGCTTTAGTATTTCGACGAGACCGGGACCGGTCCAAATTAATCGGTCGCGGCCCGAGACCAGTTTTTGACCATCTCTAATGGCTGGTAAGTATTTGTGTAAATGACCCCTTAAACCTTACACAAAAAATGTAGGGTTTTAGGTATATATTTCTTTTTATCTTTCTCCAATTAATGTAAATAACTGGTGTTATATCAAATTCAGTGTGGCACTATTCATTACACCAAATGTTGGTGTAAAGTTTGGTGTACTATTTAGAATGATTTAGTGTCAATTTGGTATTTTGGTATAAGATTTGGTGTACGTATTGAAGATGGTTTAATTGTCTACGGGCATAACTGTAAGATGGTGAAAAAAAAAATCCCAATAAGTTGTTTGCAGCAACCTTCTAAAACACTGGTTTATTGGCTTATCAAACAGAACTTTTATGTAAACTTAAAATTAAGTTTGCTTATATTTGTCAAACGCCTAGTTTTGGTGTAGCARCTATATTTCGATTTATCCTCTTTTTTCAAGGATTTCATAACTGGACATTGAACTCATTTCATATGATGGGAGTTGCHGGTGTATTGGGTGCTGCTTTGCTATGCGCTATTCATGGTGCTACCGTAGAAAATACTTTATTTGAAGATGGTGATGGCGCAAATACATTCCGTGCTTTTAACCCAACTCAAGCTGAAGAAACTTATTCAATGGTCACTGCTAATCGCTTTTGGGAGCTTACGGTTTCATGTTCTATTTCACTCCCCGATGGGGGTTCTTTTCACCCTTCCCTCACGGTACTACTTCGCTATCGGTCACCCAATAGTATTTAGCCTTGCAAGGTGGTCCTTGCTGATTCTACTCGATACCCAAGTAGGCTTATAAAATAGATCGTGATATGATCAATTGCTTTATGGGTCGTCTCAGACCTTATGATTGGTGTTTATCCCCAAAATTTTTAGAGACCTTTTATAAACACACACAAAGTATTTACTTGTTATTAATATAGTCTCTATTCTTCTTTAGACCCTTTTTTCACTCTGATAGTATCGTAGATTGCGTCAATGCAGAGGAAATGAATGCATTTGTATACTATTAAATTCAATCTGAAGTTAAGTGAACTAGATTTAAAAATAAAATTGAACAAAACATGGATAAAAAAATGTCATATGTGTTCTTATATATTGGTTGAATAAAAACAAGGTTCTTATTTAACTATGCTAAAATGGTACCCGCACAATGTAGCGAGATACATCTTCATTTTAATGTGGTTTTGATAAAGATGATGTTTTTACTTTTGAATAAAGATATATTTGAAGATATCATAAAAATATGAAAAATTATATCGTTATTAATATCAAATTAATTATTTCAAAAGTTCTCGTTTTTTGTACAATTTCTTTAATTCATTTTTTTTATTATAATTTAATTTAGGTCTAATAGCGAAGTAATTTATTTTTGGCTTAACAGTATAATTTTTATAAAGATAATGATTATGTTAAAACTCAACGATTAACATAATTATATTTTAAAATTTTTATATAAAATAAGATGTTTTTATGTGGTATAATGTTTTTATTTTTTGAATAAAATATAAATTTGAAGGTATCATAAAATTTTGAAAAAAAATGTATCGATTTTAATATCAAATTAAAATTTAAAAGTTCATGTTTTTTCTTGTTTGTGTAAATTCTATAATTTAATTTTTTATTATAATTTAATTTAGATTTAATAATGAAGTCATTTACTTTTGGTTTAATAATATAATTTTTTATAAAGATAATAATTAATATTTTGTTAGAATTCAATAATCATCTTAAATAAAATGAGATATTTATCCAGTATGTGATTATATTTATCTATAATAGTTACACGAATTCAAATATAGAGCTTTAATAAGTTGTACATACGCACAGTTTACTTGTAATCTTAAATTTTAAATAATATGTATCAATAAACATATTACTTATATGTAATTATTTATATTTACATCTTCTAATTCCAGTTTTAACATAAAATAGAGGTGATTATCCGTTAACTTTAGCAAGCAATCATATATGTTAGTTAATTTAATTCAAATTAAATAAAAATAGGGAAAAGTACAATAAAAACCAATGAACTTTCTTGTTTGGAATGATTAAGTCCTTGAACTTTTTTTTGGAACAAATAAGTCCTTGGACWTTCCAAAACATGTTAAATAAKTCCTTGWACATTCCAAAATATGTTAAATAAGTCCTTGAACAATTTTTGGAACAAATAAGTCATTGGACATTCCAAAAAATGTTAAATAAGTCCTTGGACAATCAAATAAGTCCTTGAACAATCCAAAACATGTTAAATAACTTCTTGAAAAAAATAAAGTGGTAAAATAGTGAAAAAAATCCGGAAAAAAAACCCAATGAACATTTATATTTTGAACGATTAAGCCCCTAAATATTTTTTGAACCAAAAAGTATKTADATCTATAAAATTAAACAAATATAACAAAAAAGTACTTACATTTACAAAAAAATAATTACCATTTTAACTAGTTGTACAAGTCATAAGAATGTATCCAACATGTTTTATAAAAGTCCAAGAAGTTATTTAACATGTTTTGGATTGTTCAAGGACTTATTTGTTCCAAAAATTGTCCAAGGACTTATTTAACATTTTTTGAAATGTTCAAGGACTTATTTGTTCCAAAAATTGTTCAAGGACTTATTTAACATTTTTTGAAATGTCTAAGAACTTATTTAACATATTTTGGAATATCCAAGGACTTATTTGTTCCAAAAAATTGTTCAAGGACTTATTTAACATGTATTGGAATGTTCAAGGACTTATTTGTTCCAAAAAAAAGTTCAAGGACTTAATCATTCCAAACAAGAAAGTTCATTGGTTTTTATTGTATTTTTCCCATAAAAATAATATGATTTAGACACTGATAATTAATGTATGTTAAATAGTTTTTTTTATTAACTTGGATATCCAACCCGCTATGCGAACCAACTAATCTCAGGGCGACTATCTGCTTTGCAGATAGCCCGGAGTCACCGCATTTGAACCTCCGTGGCCACAAGTCATGATGGCCAAAAACCGGTCCCGGGCCGGGCCAGGCCTAATCGGTCCCAAACTTTCTCATAACCGGTCCTGGCGTAACCGGTCTCGCGGTCCCGGTCGAAAATGGTAGGACCGGTCAAGGTACTTCATAACCGGTTATGGGTCGTCGGTCCAGGTCCCAGTCCTAGTCCTAACTGGTCCCGGCATTAAAAAAATAAGATTTTTTAAAAAAATTTTAATGATATATATTTTTAATACATTATAAAATTTACAATTGGGTCACTCAAATACACTTTAAAAATGTGTTTTAATATAATTAGAATTACATTGTCTTATAAAAATACATTATAAAATTATTTGAAAATACATTTATTTATTAAATTATTTATTTTTCGGGCCGGGCCGGGCCGGGCCGGTCCATAGCCGGTCCCGGCTGGTCCCGGTCCCACGAAACTACCAAAAACACCAACCGGTCCCGGTTTTCGGTCCCATAACCGGTCCCGATCCCGGTCCTCCTGTGGTCCCGGGCCGGGCCAGGCCAATTTGGCCATCACTAGCCACAATGGGATTTTTATTCCTCCTTGGATTTGAACATGGACCTCCTGGTACTTTTGATCTTTAGAATCAAACTCAAACCAATCAGACATCACCTTATGGTTTATGTTAAATCAACTCTAATAGTATATTTAAAAAAATACTAATAATATTATTTAATAATAAATAAACATTTATTTATCATTATACTATTTCATGGAAAATCTATAAACGCTTACCGTGGTAAGAGTCGTCGCTCTCATTTACCGGGTAAGGCTATTGGTCATTGTCTCGCTCTTACCAGATAAGATTCTTGGTCCTTGTCTCGCTCTTACCGTGTAAGATTCTTGTTCCTTACCATATTCATCTGATAAGATAATGTGACTTGGTGTTCACTTATCCGAGTAAGCATTTGGTGAACGTCCCCTGGAATCAGTCCCGTCCATTGGCCCGTTACATTTGAGATTTAGAACAGGGCATCCAACATTTTGGGGCCCAAATTTCACAGGTCCGTCATAATACCTATTCGACCGATCCAAGCTAATGCCTAATGGAGAACGAGAGTCGATACCTGCAGAGTGCAGACCAGGCGCTAAGATGCCTCAATCTCCCCTCTCCTCTCTATCCTATCGATTGTCGATTGAAATCTCCAAAGATGGCTAATAATTCGGTTTTAGATATGCAACGGCAACGATAACAACGATTAGATTTTAGAGGATTTTTGTTATTTTGTACAAGTATAACATGTTTGGTCAATTTGTCGATTACTCATTACTCGATTGCTATTCGCCTATTCTCAAATATCATAATCTCAACGACTCAACGATTGGTTGATTACTTGATTGATATTAACTAATTTGCTTGCTATCATCACAAAATCTCAATTATGTAACTCGATATTCGTATCTGTGTTGGTTGGACTGTTGGTTGATTTTAACCTAATTCCTAAAGGTGGGGTAAATTCCACTCAGAAATCACTAACACATGATTCGTGTATGATTTAATGTGTGTAAGAAAAGTAGAAAACTTGTTCAAAATCTCAATTCTCAAGTGTTTTAGAACATTGAATTTTCGCTATGAATATGATTGAGATTGTATAGTTAATAGTTGGATGAGATTGAAGTGAAAATATGATTTAGTGTGGAATGAAATATGATCATTTAAGTGTTTTGTATTAATAAATTATCTTGCACAGTTAATTAATTGTCCAACTTCAAATCGTGTTCAAATTGTTTAGGTTCATCTTCTTATTTGTTTAGGTTTGGTTCAAATTGTTCAAACTTCAGTCTTCAGATTGTTTAGGTTCAAATGGTCAAATCCTTAGTATATGTACATGTGTTTGTCTCTTGCAGTGCAAGAAAAAACTTTTCGGACTTGGGAGGGCCAAGCATCAATAGCCATCATATGCAACAGTAGTACTATCATCCTCACTCAGGTTGTTTTGTTCCTTATCTTTTTTCTTTTACTTATTTCAGTTTCAATATGTCTTCTAGGGTTAGAAAATATGATTCTGGATGTCAAAAACGTAAAAAAAGGAAAAGAATTGAAGAGATAATTCAATCTCAAAAATGATCTCTTGATAAGTTTGTCATAAAAGAAGGTATGTCTTCTCTTGACAATGAGCATATTGATATTAATTTGGATGATACTTGTGTTGATGCTAATGAAAATCCTAACATGGTGAATTTAGTTGGCACTCTAAATGACTCCCATGAGGATTTGACTACAAATGTTGATACTAATAATGCTTCTAATGATGTTATTAATGTTAATGCTAATAATGTTCCTGATGTTATTAATGTTAATGCTAATAATGCTTCTAATGATGTTCCTGATGCTACTGATCGTGATGATGTTTTTAATCATTTTGATATATTTGATCCCAGAAATTGGGATACGTTAGATTCTAAAATGATTGATGTGTTAGTTGCTAAGGGTCCTAAAAAAGATTTGTCTGTTTAGAAAGGTCCAAAAGATAAATTGTCTAAACGCTTTTCTACCACATGGTATACTAGAATTTTATCAAATGGGAAGAAATGTGATAGAGATTGGCTTGTATATTCGGTAAAGCTTGATAAGGTATTTTGTTTTTGTTGTAAAATCTTAAAAAAAAAGACATATAAAAGGTCAGTTAACAAATGATAGATTTGGGGATTGGTCACACCTAAGCACTAGACTGAAGGAGCATGAAACGAGTATAGATCATGTAATGAATATGAAAACTTGATATGATTTATGGCTAAGACTTCAAAAGAATCAAACCATTGACAAAGTTGTTCAAACCCAAATAGAGAAAGAAAAAAAATCATTGGAAAAAAATCTTGGTAAGAGTTGTTTCCATTGTATTTTTTTTTTTTGCATAACATAATCTTGCATTTCATGGAAGTAATGCAAAATTGTATGAGAATAGCAACGGTAACTTTTTGGGCTTGATTGAGATGTTGGCTTTGACTCAATTATTCAGGATCATGTTCAACGTATTACAAATGGTGATTTACATGTTCATTATCTTGGTCCTAAAATTCAAAATGAGTTGATAATTTTGCTTGCCAAGAGACTTAAATGTGAAATTATTAATAAAGTAAAAGAGAAGTATTTTTCTGTTATCCTTGATTGCACTCCCGATATAAGTTATCAAGAACAAATGTTCTTGCTATTAAGGTATGTAGATGTCTCTTCTAAAATTGTTAGCATTGAGAAATCTTTTATAGGATTTTTGGAGGTAAATAATACCACGGGCCAAGGTTTGTTTGATGTTCTAGTAGCTGAATTAAAGTGTCTTGGCTTGGATTTAAATGATGTGCAAGAACAAGGTTATGATAATGGTTCAAAAATGGAGGGAAGACATTAAGGAGTACAAAAGAAACTACTAGATATAAATCCTAGAGCATTTTATACTTGTGCTTCTCATAGTCTTAATTTAACTTTGTGTGATATAGCCAATACTTAGTAAAGCTAGAGATTTTTTTTGGAATAATTCAACGTATTTATACAATATTTGTTAATTACACTAAAATATGGCAAGTGTTTAAAGATAATGTAAAAGGATGGACCGTCAAATCATTGTCAACGACTCGCTGGTAGAGTCGTATTGATAGTGTAAAGGCTATAAGATTTCAAGTGTTAGAGATAAGAGAAGCTTTACTTCAAGTGGCTGAAATAGATAATGATTCAAATATTAGAAGGGACGCAAAATCTTTAGCACACAATGAGCTTGGTGATTTTGAGTTTCTAGTGTCAATGGTGGTTTGGTATGAAATACTGTATGCCGTAAATTTGATTAGTAAACATTTACAGTCAGAAAATATGTTAATTGATGTTGCTATTGATAAAGTTAAGGGACTGATTTCTTATTTTAAGGGATATAGAAAAAGAAGATTTTTAGATGCTATAGAACTAGCAAGGACGATTGCCACTGAACTAAATATTGATCCGTTGTTTCCTCAAAGACGTGAAATTCGAAGAAAAAGACATTTTAATGAAAATTCGCATGATGCATCTGAAATGAATTCACAATCAATGGAGGAGTCATTTGAAGTTAATTATTTTTTATGTGTCTTTGATCATGCAATTGCTTCACTAAGTAGGAGATTCGAACAATACCAAGAATATGAAAGTGTGTTTAGGTTTTTGTTTACATATTATAAGTTGCGTTCTTTGGATGATACATGTTCAAAGTCTTCTTGTACTAATTTTGAAAATGCAATGAAGAAACAAGACCAATTTGATATAGATGGGAATGACTTATATGTTGAACTGAAGATACTTCAAGATCTTTTTCCCGCACAAAAGATGAGACCTCTTGATATTTTAAAGTATTTGAAACATGTTGAATGCTTCACTAATGCTATTATTCCTTATAGAGTTTTGTTGACTATTCTTGTAATCGTTACATCTGCAGAAAGAAGTTTTTCAAAGTTGAAGTTGTTGAAGTCTTATATGCGCTCCACAATGACACAAGAAAGGCTTAACGGACTTCTCATGATAGCACTTGAAAATGACTTTTCGGAGAAAGTTGATTACGAAGAGCTTATTGAAGATTTTGTTTCCAAGAATATTAAAAGAATGAGTTTATCCAAGTGAAGTTTACATGTTACTTTGTCTTTTGGCTATTCTTATTTGTAAAACTTTCCATATAATATGAACTTTTGTATTTAACTTTTATTTGTTTTGTCAGCCAATCTACTTATATTTTTTATAATAGTATAATAGGGCCTCCAAAAATATTGGGACGGCCCTGCCTGGAATGTGTTCCCTTTCAAAATGTGATTCATACTGAAAAATCGTATGGAAATATCCCGAAGTTCGATCAGACACAATTCGAACGTTCATATTATAAAAACTTCTGAAAGCTTAATATTTCAACTACTTAATTATTGATGACAAACAGACTGTTAAAGTTCACAAGTCCAGATGCACTATCTAGACGTTTGTATTAACTGATTCAAAAATAGTTTTTTGAAAAAACAATAATTTTCTCTTTAACAATACAATAAGCCTCACACAATCATCATATTGTTTAAAGTAATACTATAAGGGTATTCGCACAATGCAACAAAATATATCTTCATTTTAATGTTTCGTTTTATTTTTTGTCTCTATTGATATGATACGGTTTATGTGGTTTTGATAATGATAATGTTTTTACTTTTGAATAAAAACATATTTGAAGATATCATAAAATTTTAACAAATATATCGATAATAATATCAAATTAATTATTTAAAAGTTCTCCGTTTTCGTACAATTTCTTTAATTCAATTTTTTTATTATAATTTAGGTCTAATAGCGAATTAATTTAATTTTTAGCAATATAATTTTTATAAAGATAATAATCTTGTTGGAACTTAATGATTATTCTAATTATGTTTAAAAATTAGATGTTTATCCTGTATTTGATTATGTTTATCTACAGTTAGTTATATGAATTAAAAAATGGAGTTTGTTATACTTACACACAATTTACTTGTAATTTTAAATGTTAAGTAATTTACATTAATACACAATACTTCATACATAAAAAATAATTTTTAAGAATTTTTGTCAAATGCTTTATAATATAGTATAGGTTATAGAAACTTTTTTTATACCAAAATGTATTATGGTTTAATCAATAAAGTATTATGTTTTAGTGTATGTCCATGAGCCAATATAAGATCATATGATTGTAGATTTTGTCATGATATTATTTAGTAAATTACATTGTTTAATTATTATATTATATTATATTATATTATCTATTATATTTAAATATAACAATAATTTAGAATAAATATTCATAGCGTGTCTAGTTAAGTATTACGCCAGACTTAACGTTGACAAAATAATATGGTAACGATCAATACATACAGAATTTACACACGTGTATCAGATGAGAATATCATGTATCAGATGTGACTCGCTATGAGAAATCTAATTATATGTCATATGAGAATCATAAGCGTTTATTATATAGTCATTGCATAATAAACCATTTGACTTAAAAAGATGAAGTCTGACGTGTATGAGTGGTGTACTTTGATATTGCTTTTAAACATTACGTAATTGAGTGATAGAACGGTTTGTGTATGTCACATCTTACATGGTAGTACCAGTATGTACCGAAAGAGAATTTGTCTTTATGTATGACATGAATGATGTCATCGGTTCTCTTGATTGAATGACATTAAGGAAATGCATCATATGATCGATGTGAGGATATCGACATTTGTTTATTAGTACACTTTGAAATCAAGAAACTAAGTACTGAAGACAATGAGATGGCATATCCATACCCCTGCATAATGTCCAATATGGATATCGAGCACCAATGGGCATAACGTGCAGACTAATAATGACCATGAGTTGTTGATTGACTGAATTGATACATAATTAATCTGATGAAATTAAATTTCAATATATAAATCTATATCTAATCTTGATTATATACAAATAGGAGGGTGAAAAGTAATCAATAATTAGAACGTATCTCTCTCTCTCTCTCTCTCTCTTTCACACACACACACACACATACATACATACATACATACATACATACATACATACATACATACATACATACATACATACATACACACATACANACACACATACACACATACACACATACACACATACACACATACACACATACATACATACATACATACATACATACATACATACATACATACATACATACATACATACATACATACACAGAGAGAGAGATTATCTCATGAGAAATGAAAACTTGATGAGAAAATGTAGGAATCTTATAGAAAATTTTAACAATTTTTAGCATAAATTAACATAAAATGTTAACATGCATTAACATGTAAACTTTCACTAACAAATTGCTTCCTACACTTTTCTCACCAAAATTTGATTTCTTACTGAATAGCGAGGGATTAGAGCGGTCGCTAATCCCCTTTTTCTAGTAGTGTTTATTATGATCCACGTTTTAGATTAAGAAACAACTTAGATATTTGTGGAACCAAATATTCATTAGGCTAAATGACAGTTAGGATTGGTTTGTACTAAGATATTGGTTTGTAAATAGTTAGGAGTTTGTGGTTATATTCCTCATGTAGAAAATCCACTACCACAAAATCGAGTTTATAGGACACTCCGATTTTTAAACGTCCTAATAGACCTCTTTATAAGACTTAATTTATAGGACCCAAAAAAAAAGTGTCATATCTAAAGACGTTGTAATAAGTTTCTATGACCTTTTTTTGACGTTGTAATAAGTTTTTTTAGGACACTTTTAATATAAAGTGTCTCATTAACAAATTTATAGGACACTATTTGAAAAATTGTTCTATAAAAACAAGTGTCCTATACAAAAATTAGTTTATAGGACAATTTCTCAAAAGTGTCATATAAAGTTGCTAATGCGACACTTTGTATTAAAAATGTCCTAAAAAACTTGTTTAAGACGTCCAAAAAGGTCATATAAACTTATTACAACACCTTTAGATAGAACGCTTTATATTTTGGTCCTATAAATTAAGTCCTATAAAACGGTCTATTGGGACATTTAGAGATTGAAGGTGTCCTATAAACTCAATTTTGTTGTAGTGATTCTAATTTGAAAAACGTAGCCAACTTCTCTCTCCACATCCAGGGCTTTGCTTTCTCCAAGCTTTGAAAATAACGAGAAACAAGATTCGATTTATTCGCATGGATACCGTGTAGGCAATAAGTTGCGCTCGTTAAGATACAAATTTTAAAACATCATTATACTTTGTTCATTTAAGACAATGGATCACTTAGATATATTCCCTTACAAATGATCCTCTAAATACTATTTAACTTTTCTATTTACATCCGAGTTAAGCTCGTGAGTATCACGTGACGTTTTTGTTAAATAATCTACACAATATGGAGCATTTCGTGTTGGCTGGTATTATATATTTATAATTCTAATATTAATATATCGATGACCCTTTTTTACATCTCATATAGGGACTATAAATGTTAAGAACGGGGTCTGATTATTTTTTATAAATATCATAACATAATCATCATGAATCTTGTAATAATAAAAACACTTTCATATTCATTATGAATATGCTATTTATAATAAATATTAATGAAATATGCACATATTCATAATGAATAATAATGAAATATGCATACAATATAATGTTATAGTAATAAATAAAAACCAACCACCATTTTTTGAACAAAGTGTTGATAATAACTAGCCATTTACATTACATGGGAGTTATCCACTAAAAGTGGTCCCAAAAAATGGTGGGAATAAATCGGAAAAAATCAATTGCAAGAAAGTATTATAAAAACGAACTGTATTTTAGTTTTAGATAAGAGATGGTTATCAAACGATACACAATCTCTTCATTTGACCATTTTGTACTTGTATGATGTTCCCTACGTTATACAAGTTCTGATGTTTTTAATATCTACCGTATCACTTGTTACTTTCAAGATATAATTATGTTTAATGCTGACACGGTTATGTCACGATCTCGTTAACCAGATTATGATTGATTGTTAAGAGCGTGTAGGATTGCAATAACATGAGTTGTAATTTTCACGTGAGATGTCTATATTTGACTTTATGGTCAAATTAATCAAGTAACAATTGATTACGTACGTCTTTAATTTTATGAAACTCAACTTTCATTAATTAATACAGCCGTAAATAAAACTGATTTCCTTTTGTTTTGTTTCTAGAATGAGTTATCATGATATTTACCATATTCTACTTGGTTCCAATCAAAGAGGCAATGGGCTCCCATAGGTCCGACCAAAACGTTTGTAGTTACCGCATTATACAGACAGAAAAAGATGCGCTCAAACCTATGGCTTAGGTGCTTACAAGCACAAACCGGAGATCGGGAATGGTGGGGAAAACTGTTGGGTTTGACTCAGGACGGGTGGCTCGATGGCTTGGTTAGTTATATAGTTTAATTTTAATATCTCTAATTTTTATAGTACTAATACGTAGTTTATGTCTAACATTTTTTGTTTTATTAATAGCATATCGAAGCATGGGTATGACTCATACAATCATCACGTTCTCCATACGCCAATTGGATGGTGATGATTGGAGACTTTTGGTTGTTCTTGGTCGGCATCCAAGGCCTAAGTTACATGTACATGCAAGCCAATGGTGACGAGATGAGGGATGGATTTCCAGCATGGGCTACTGTTACTAGGGTATGTAAATCATTTTACATCTATTTTATTTAAGTCGTTATTTGTTTATCAAAGTCGGTTTCTTACATATCTCATTTCAAGTCATCATCCCCATATGCATCGAGTTTTGGCATTGATGGTCGGGGATTTCAATCTGGATTCGATGATTATGACTATATACGACTGGATGTAGGTCCCGATATTAGAGCCGCTGTTGAGACGGATGATGACTCGTTTCCATGATGTTATCCCTGAGTTCTTTTCTCTAATTGGGGAACATTCTCATGCATAGATCACGACTACCTTCTATTGGAGTTACACACCTGATGTACCACAACAACGTGAATCACTCGGCGATTGTGGTGTATGGGCATGCAAGTTCATCACGGATTTGACAGATGGCAGGACCCCATCATGTAGCACAGGTACGGATAAGGATTCAGAGTCCAGATCTTGGCATCATCATATGGCAGATGTTTTGTGGGCAATGAAGACTACTAATGAACATGAAGAATAGTTAGCTTTTTAATCTGTTTTATCATTTTATTATCAAAATGTAGCTACTTTACTTTATAATACATATTTATTAAAAAGTTGTTGCATTTGTTAAACATTTCAATGTATTACATGACGGTTATTAGTTACATGGCAAACGATGGCTACATAACAGTTGATTTTTGCTGCACCTCGTCCGACTTCTTACATGTTCCTCAGTGATATTTGGGTCAAACTGTTGACAACCACTTTTTCGGCGTATATTTGAATGACGGTATGGCCATCTACATATTCACGTATACTCATTATGTCTTCATCAACATCAAGTGGTTGCAGTTCACTATCTAAGTCCGCATTTGGGTTGTTAAAAATAAATTGTCAAATCTTTTTTCTCTTCATAACCCACCTTTTCCATTATCTGGTGAGTGAGTCGCATAGACAAATCGTGTATATCCAACATGTCAACATAAATTTCTAGACTGCTGAAGGCATGGAAATTGAAGGCATAAATTTCTATCAAGTATCACAGCTTTCATACCATTCAAATTGAAGGCAGTAATTATCTGCTTACTTATCAAACACAAAGACATGGCTGAAAACGCGTCCTCTTCAAACCCTCCCTCTTCTCTAATCATGCCTTCTAGAATGGTGAAATCCATTGAGAAAAACGAAGCTGAGATCAAACAGCTAGAAGAGAGGTGGTGGAATACATATGAAAAGGAGAAACTTCTCACAGGGATTGAGGTAATTTCTTGGTTTATTGAAGCAGCCATGTCAGATACGAAAATCAATCCTTCCATTTATCCGATACACTGCTTCAGCATGGAAAAAAACCAAGTCCACACCTCTCCATTCTCAGACCTACCCTCTTTGATAACGATGGGCACAATTTCGTTATTTGCATCCATAGCAATAGCTAAGAACATTGTGCCCAAGAAAGGTCCCTTCAAATGAGCACCGTCCATCGTAAGCACCCGAAGCAAGTGTGATAGAAATGACAAAATCTGGAAAATTAGGTGGTTTACATATTATAAAATTATACTATATAGTTGTGCAAAAAAATAAAAATACAATTTATTATGGTGAAAAAGGTTACAACAAAATTATATGTTCCGTGCAACGAAGGGCAGTGAAACATATATCAAACTGTCTTATGTTATCTCTTCTAACTTGTGTCACCGTACCATAATTATAGAGCTCCAAATTATACAGATAAGTAGGGAGTCGGGTAACGAGTCCTCCGGTAAACCTTTCACCATGGTTGTTGCATAAGCTTTCGCATGCCAAGCTTGCCAGTAAGAAATATGTATTTTAAAATGTTCTCTTATATCGTTGACAATGTCGGATCCACGATGGATCTACTAGTATCCTGCACTTTAGGATAAATTAAATGACCCAACACTCTTATGTTTGCTTGACTGTGGTGGGATGCATCTGGGTCTTTAAGCAGATGTGTACGTCATGCAGCTTTCATACATGAAACATCTTTGTATTTCTGATAGAGGTTGCCATGATACACCACTCACAGTTTTTTCTTCGAAACATTTCTCCTTGTTAGATGGTTTTTGAAGATTTATGCATTCTAAATTGGAAACCCTCTTCAATAAACTTTAACCCGAGGGCGAGTGCCATTTCTTCTTTCTTAGGGAATACCTGCGCCAAACTTACTCTACCACTACGATTATAAGGTATAGGTTGGTTGTGTGTGATGACAGACTCTGATGTTGGAAGGGGTGGAGGCATATCAAAAAAATCATTTGTCCCAGAAATGATTTAACAGAATAAGTTTATATTGTTGCTTCTTCATCAGTATCAATATCATATATACCCAAGTGGTAAACATATGACTCCTCATCATTTTTATGAACTTTTTCTTCTCCTCTTTCTCCTCCTCCTTATCCTTCTTCTTCTTCTCATTCTTCTCCTTGTTATGTCTCCCGAACAAAATCGAGGATACACTCACTATGACCATATGTCTGTTCCGAAATAAGATCAGCGGTAATCTCATATGCATGCTCGTTTTTATAATCAAACTGAGGCATGTAAGAAGTTTGATTCTGCCCAGTAGCATACACATCACCTCCGATGTTCGAACTACCACCAACATTGCTTCCATCGCACATTGACATACACATAAAGTGGATTATTTGAACAGAAGCAAATTCCATGAAATACAAAATATGGCCAGTGTTACCTAACTCATAAATTTCGCCTAAATACTTGTACGTCATTCTAGTGATACCAACAGAAGAGTTGATACCATATTTTGTTTGAACATAACTAACCAACCTCAAATGTGTAATGTTCGATGGCACCATGACACGTAGCAGCGGTTGATCAAAAACATACTCTCACTCTCGATTAATTTGCTACCACGAGCCCCCACCACTAATACTTAACTTAGTTTTATCAGTCCAGAACTCATTCTGAAAAAAAAAATACATAACAAAGAAGTTACACGAGAGAAATATTTGATTGAAAAGTTGGTTGAAAATTTGGTGGTCTTCAACACTCATCGTTGGCATTTTTATACAAAAATTTGACTGAATCAAATTGTACCAACATCAAAGTTAATGATCTACTGAAGTTGTACAATTCATAATCATGGTGGAAAAACACAATGAACAACAGCAAAAAAACACACCTGAAAAACGTGAAAAATGAGATTTGGAACATATAGGTCCGCAATATTATGGATACAGACCTGAATTAGGGTTTCTATATGGTGCTGACATGTGTCATATCTGTAATATTACGGATATGGTATTGCGGACGTGTGATTACGGACCTAGCCATTGCGGACCTGGGCCCGAAATCATTTTCTTTCTTGTCTTTTAGTCCAATCCACAATATTATAGACATGTGTATTGCAATCTTAGTGACATTTGAATAAAAATGGAAAAGAAATGATTAGAAGACCAATTTGGATCAGATTTTTTTATCATTTGACTCAATTTTTATGCAATAATTATTTTACAAGAATCTTTTGTATCTTGTATTTGTTTCTCCGTCCGCCCGAGCAGGACGCCCATCCGCAAATACAACTTTTTGTTCATGGGAATGAGATAACAAACACAACACAATCCATTCTTTCTTATCTTCTTCCTTCCATTTCTTCTTTCTCTCTCCATCTCCATCTCCATCTCCATCTCCATCTCCATCACCATTAACAGCTTTTAATTAATGTGAATTCCAAGAAACAAGAATTAGGTTGTTATGGCCACGAAGAAGTTATACGAGAACTTCTCCAAGAGTTTGATCGACGAAGTGCACAAATGGGGTGCTATGAAACAGACGGGTGTAAGCTTACGCTACATGTTAGATTTTGGGTCCGTTCCTTCTGATCGTAATTTGATCATAGCCGCTCAATTTCTTCACAAAGAGCTTCCAATTAGGATCGCTAGACGTGCCATTGAACTCCAGTCTCTTCCTTATGGCTTATCTGAAAAGCCTGCAGTTCTCAAAGTATGTTCTTACTTTTCCCCCTTTCTTTCATCTTCACAATTTGGTGATTTCCTTCTTGTTCTAATTATGGGGTTTTCACCCTTTTGGCATCGTTTTATGTTTCTGGAAATGAGATTTTTCAAATCATGTTGTAATTAGATGAAATTGAGTGCAAAATCTTGTTTTAGGTTTGCAGATTGGGTTTTATCTGGACAGACAAATCTCTTGGTGTTGTATATGGATGGATAATACCTCTTTTCTTGTTCCTTTTTCCAATTTCAAATTGTTATGATAAAATTCTCATGAATGGATTCAGCTGTAAAAGAAAATGCTTGTTTATGTAAACTAGGAATCAAGGTATAATTCTGGCATTTTCATGGGGATGCTTGAAAACAAAAATGAACATTTTCAAAGATGGAACTTGACCCTAATGTGTTAATGTCCTCTTGTATGGATTGGTTTTCATGTTATTATTGAGTGCAAGTTGAATACTAGTATTCTAATTCGATATGGCATCAACTGCAAGGTGCGAGATTGGTACCTAGATTCGTTTCGTGACCTTAGATCCTTCCCTGAGATCAAGGACATCACTGATGAGAGAGATTTTACCCAAATGATTAAGCTGATCAAGGTACGGCACAATAACGTCGTCCCCACTATGGCTCTAGGAGTTAAACAGTTGAAGAAAGGTCTTGACCCCAAGGTTGAAGATGAGGGTCTGGATGAAATTCACCAGTTCCTAGATCGCTTTTATATGTCAAGAATTGGAATCCGAATGCTAATTGGTTAGCATCATCTTTCTTTGCTTTCTAATTAGTTTTTGTTATTAAACAGATGTTAAAACTTGTTTTTGTGCTTTCAAATTTGGGTCGAACTCAGGGCAACATGTGGCAGTGCATGATCCAAACCCCCCACCGAATTGTATTGGTTATATACATGCAAAGATGTCTCCGATGCAGGTAGCGAAAGATGCTAGTGAAGATGCCCGTTCTATTTGTTTACGAGAGTATGGCAGTGCACCAGATATCAATATCTATGGTGATCCTAGCTTCGCTTTCCCGTAAGTTTTTCTAGTCTCATCAATTCGTAATATGATGATATGGGTTTCTGTTTTCGTCACTCATGTATACATATTTTGGGATCATGGTTTGTATATCTAAAGAGGCTTCCTCTGTTTGATTTGGTTTGGCCACCAGATACGTACCGACACACTTGCACATGATGGTGTTTGAGTTGGTTAAAAACTCATTGCGTGCAGTCCAAGAGCGGTATATGGATTCTGAAAAAGTCCCACCTCCTATACGTATAATAGTGGCTGATGGAGCAGAAGATGTTACAATCAAGGCATGTGTTAGGTTTTAAAGAAGATGTATTAATATTTTTCAGGAATATGTTTGTTATTTAAAGGAATAAATTTTGTGGGTAGGTTTCAGATGAAGGGGGTGGAATAGCAAGAAGTGGTCTTCCAAAGATCTTTACATATCTCTACAGCACTGCTAATAATCCACTTTATGAACAATCAAATCTTGGAGCAGTTGATACGGTTACAATGGCAGGTTATGGATATGGACTTCCTATCAGTCGCTTGTATGCTCGCTATTTTGGAGGGGATCTGCAAATCATCTCCATGGAAGGCTACGGTATGCATTCACATTCTCTATATGACTATATATATATATATATATATATATATATCGTGAGTGGATATTACTTGACTTTGTAATGGATGTGCGCTGCAGGAACAGATGCATATCTTCATTTGTCGCGTTTGGGAGATTCACAAGAACCGTTGCCTTAAAACTCATGTGAATAATGTGAATGCAGCAGTTTCGCCTTTCTATTTCGTGGAATGTAGTTAACATTTCTATTTGAATTTCAAGGAATCCATTTACCCTGTTACACTTGATGATGATAGCTAATGAATCAAATCAGCAATGTAGATGGTCAACACCAAACTGCTTGATTGATCAATGATATGTATGCTTGAAAGAAGCAAAAAAGTTGAAACCAAAACCAAAGCAACTGCATGAATAAAGCTATCATGACCCAAGCCTATAATGACTGGTCATTTGGGCTTTGAAAAAAAGACAAAGTGCTGTAACCAAATAAGCATCCAAACAACACACACTGCAATCTGCATGCATGGTAAAAGCATCTGCATCCATTCCAATGCTCTATGCAGCATAGTGTCTCAAGACTACAAAAATTTATGACATCTTATTTAAAGAAAAGTGCTGCCACATCCCTCAAACAAAACATTTTCCTTTCTATTACCAGTTTAAACAATGGAAAATCTAAGCTGCTCCACATTCATCAAGAATCAAACCCATCTCCAAACAGTGAGAGAGCAAGAACTGGGAAATTAATATATAAAGAAAAGAAAAGAAAAAAGGGGAACCAAGTCATGCATTTGATTAGTCTGCAGCCATAAATGGATCTGCTTCCCCAAGATCAGCAACCAGCGGTTCCAAACTCGTCACATCCTCGTCTTCTGTGGAAAAGTAGGTCGGGAATGGAAGCAATGATATATCTGGTTTCTTGTACCATGCGTCTTTTATAAATACAAAATTTCCCTCGTTGCCTGGTACCTATCATACAAATACATTTTCAGAAAACATATACCAAGATGAAATCTGTGTATGTGAATTATTGAACTACTCCTTACATGTTGATAGTCAATTTAAACAAACAACAAAACAGATGATTTGCAACCAACTCAATAGCAAATAAAAGGGAAGGCCAGAATCATACTTGGCCTCTGACCCACATCAAGTTCCTCGCAGGATCTATCTTATATACCCACACATTTTTCACTGTTCTTTGCTTTCCACCCATGCGACCAGGCATCTTTTTACCTTTGAATACCTGATTCAGAGAGTATTTAATCAGCATTGTCCACAAAAAAAGACATAGAAACAGATCTTAGCTTAAAGGGTCTCTCATTAGGTAATAATTTGGAGGACATCAACCAGCACAGAACTTTTGAAGTCTGAATGATTCTAGCAGCACCTTATTCAAATAGTCTAATAGTTACTAGGATTAATTCTTATGATGGCTGACATGCATACACACACTGTCAAATACTTCATCTCAAATTAATTACAATACCACCTCTCAGCATGCATGTTTAGGAGCTCATCATACAATTAGAACCATACTTGGATTTTTTTGCTGCACCATGCTAGGAAAGGGGGGTCAATGATATGAAGTTCGCTAACTGACCACATTTTAAATGCTACTGTTTTTCCTTTATAAATAACAATGAGTTCTTAAGAAATGGTAGCTAAAAGAATCAAAAGCTGAGATGGTCACTGTAATTAATCATATGAATAATCCCACTATGTAAACAAACAAACATAGAACCAAATTAAGGGGGAAAATGAGATCATACCTTACCAGGAGCATCCCTCTGACCTGTAGAACCAGGACTTCGATGAGATAATGATGCTCCATGAGATGCAGGCCCTCCTTTGAAACCCCATCTTTTCATTGCACCCTGGGTATATATGAAAATAGCATTTAAGTGTTACATTTGATGTAAAAATATATCTCAAAACATATCCAAATGAAGCAACACTGCTGAGTGCTGACTTAATCTAAAAGATAACAAATAACTAGACCATATGAACAGAATAGGTCCTCACGGTCATTGCTAGGATGTTCTAGCCTGGAAGGAAAAAAGAAAGCGACCACAAGAGTATTGTGTGAATAAGATAACAGAAGCATATACCCTAAAGCATTTACTGATCAGAAACAAATGTAAGAAAATAATGAGTTGAAATTGTTTGTCTGACTACTTCTACTCCTTGCCATTAGAAAAACAAAACTATGGAAACTTAATGAGCCAAATATCACTTTCAACTGTTTAAGGAGAAACTTTGGGGATCTGAACAAAACATCACATGTCTGAGGAGACAGTGCAGCATTGTTGTGATCACTTGTCAACTTCAAGAATGGAAGAACCTTCCCATTTGAATGTATGAACAACAAAACACAAAACTAGTGAAAAAACTTTTCACCTGAAAACCTTTTCCTTTCGTGATTCCAGTGACGTCAACAAACTGCCCAGGGACAAAATGACGAACTCCGATCTGAGTGCCAATGGGAAGTAGAGCATCCTCAGTCACAGGAAACTCTCTCAACTTCCTCTTCAGAGGAACACCTTGTGCTCTGAAGTGACCCACTTCTGGTTTCGTAAGATGTTTCTCCTTTTTATGCCCACAACCAATCTAATTACAGCAACACTAATCAATAAATGATAAATTAACAGGTTTTATCACCTACATTCAGTTTAATAAGAATATACATGGATACTGAAAAATAAATCAATAAAGAACAAACAAATATTTTTAGGCTGCAAATGAAGACGGAACATTATGAATATCAACTAATCAGAATTTTATCAAGTTATCTTATTTAAAAGAGCATATAATTTATGTTCATGAGATAAATATGCTGAGCGTTAATCATAGGTTTACTCAGTTCAGTAGGTTCATCAATGAACACACTTATGCTAACCTGTATTAGAGATACCTGCCTATTTGTAGTTTGTTACATTTCACATTTTCTTATTCTGGTACACTACTCCTAAAAAGAATATCTTGAGAATGTATCCTGTTGTCAGACAGACGACATAGCTGAAATGACGAGTTATTGCATTTTTCTTGAATTTTTGCACAATTGCGACTACTCCCATCCCAATCAAGTGCAATTTATACATCACATAAAAGAGATACTTTGATCAAATTTTTAGCCTAGTACCATCATCACGTAATTGTTAGTTGCAATAGCAAAGCTTCTTTTATAAATAAAATCATTACCATGACCGGATGAGTGTCTATCCGACCTAAAAACCACACCACCTTCCTTCACCAAAATAAACATGTCCACGAACACCCTTTCAAGTTTGCCATCTGGATGTATTACGTAATAGAATATGATGGGGTTGGATCATATATTAATATGACATACACATACCAAGTGATAAGTTCATCTAATTCACTTTTCAAAATTTCTAAATCACTTTTAAAGCACTGCCTTTCTGGTTTTCATTCCGGAATTCTTTTAGCAAGCTTTCTCTGAGGTGTTATATAGTAAGCTGGGGTTGGGAAATACTAGGTTCTTTTGGTTTGGCTTACCAAGTGATAAGTTGACAAGCCATAATTTGTTTATTTAACTCCTCATCATTATATGACTTCATATGCATAATGCATTCAGCAGAGCTACATGAAATAACACAATAACAAAGTTCCTATAATAAGTCTCCCAATTAAGAAAAGACTACACTTTTCTAATTTGAATATATAACATGCAACTTCAACTTCGAAAATTGAATTTTTTTAGCACAGATGCAAACAATATGAGACATCAAATAAGTAGCATGACTAAGAACATATCCAGTGAAAATACCAAGTTTAGAATCCAAAATTTAAATTCTGGCCAATGAAAGATGGGAGAAGAGAGAGGGGGATCGGACCTGTAAAGCAGTGATGCCTTCTTTCTCAGGTGTTTTAACTTGAGAAACGATGTTTTCATCCAACCAAAGTACTGTAATCGGAACCCTAGCTCCCCATTTGTCCCAAAGAGCCGTCATTCCACATTTCACAGCAATAACCCCAGTCCTTTTTGAACTGGGCGTCATTACTCTCGACTTAGCTTCAATGATTCGGTTACTAGTGTAATTTTCTCCTTCATAGACCAATGCATCTGAGCTAAAGCTTCGCAAAAACTGACTGGTAATGGAGGTTGAAAGGGGTCGGTGAGGATTTAATGATAAACTACGGAGATAAGAAATGAGGCCTCTCGATACAGCGGCCATTGTTGGGTGATCAAATCAATTGGATATCAAAGCCAAACAATAGAGATGATGTTCATGGAATTCGCAGCGGTCGATATCGGTTTTCGGCCGTTTCAGGGTTGACGGTAGGGTTTTTAGCTCAACAAAGGTATGGAAGCGAACCAACCCTTCAAAATATAATTTATGCCAACTTTAGTCCCTGAAACTATTTTCACTTTTTAACACACTCGTTCGTAACTTTTTAAATTATAGTTTTATAAAAAGTGTTTGGATTAGCTTATGGCGGTATTAAAAGGTAATAAGCCGATAAATATTTTCTTTCATTCAAACAAAAAAAATTTCTTATTACCGGTATCATACCATAATAAGTTTATAAGTTAGAAGGGAGTAACTTATCAAAAATTTCTTATTACCGGTGTCAAACCAGTATAAGTATCTTATTCCATCCAAACACTAAAAAATCCTTCTTACTTGTATCATACCGTAAGTTAATAAACACCCTCTAAAATGGTGGGTTCTAATTCAATTAAATAATAATTATAAAAAAAATCAGAATTTAAGTTATTGTATCGATGATTAAAAGTAGAAGATTTATAAAATATGTAGGAAAAAGAAATTTGATATGACAAAAATAACCTTCAGAAGAGCGAAGGTTATTTCTATTCCAGTCCACCATTTAGAAGTATCTAGAGGTCCCAGATTTAAAATCAAAGAAGAAATAAAAATCTATTTGTAACTATGGAGGTTCAAATACGATGACTCCGGACTATCTGCAAAATAGTTGGTCGTCATGAGTTATTTGGTTCGCATAGCGGACTGGATATCTAGATTAGAGATGGCCAAAAATCGGTCCCGGGCCGGGCCTTAACCGGTTACGGCCGGGCCTAATCGTGACAAAAACCGGCTATAACCGATCCCACTATAACAGGTCCCGGTCCCGACGAAAACTACTATAACCGGTCAAGCTTTTATATAACCGGTTAAGGCCGGCCGGTCCCGGTTCCGGTCCCATAACCGGTTATGGCCGGTCCTTTGAAAAAAAAAATATTTGTTTTTTACTTTTTTTTATTTTTTTGGTAATTAATAAATTAAAAATATGTTATTAATATTTTCGAAATATGTTATTTTTAATATGTTTTATTATAAATATGTTTTATTATAAATACGTTTTGTTATGTATTATATATATACGTTTAATTTTATAAATACGTTTTGTTATATACATAATACATTTAAGAATACACTTTAAAAATACGGTTTACTCAAATACACTTTAAAAGTACGTTTTATTATGATTAAAGTGGCATTGTTTTACAAAATGCTAATAAAATACATTTATCTATCAATCTTCATCGGTATCCCATGTCGGATTGACTTGAAGAGTTCCGGTCTCTTGAATTCTTCTAATAGCCTCATTGTCTTCAAGRTCATCGATGTCGAGTTCCTCATCATCGTCATATTGGGCTTGGGAGTAAGTGTTATCGGTATCGGTAGTTGGTGGCGTGCTTAGTCCCATAGAGATTTCATTTTCTTCAAGATTTTCTTCCATCGTTTCAATCTCCGTCTCTAAAGATGTC